CCCCCGGAATAGCATCGTCACCCGGAATAACGTCTTCACCCGGAATAGCGTCTTCACAGGGAATAGCGTCTTCACCAGAATAGCGTCTTCACAAAGAATAGCGTCTTCATGGGGGAAGTGCTGTCTGTGTCCGCAGAACGCTTCTCCACCGGGAATAGCGTCTTCACCCGGAATAATAGCATTTTCACCGTCTTCATCGGGAATACCATTTTAACCCGGAATGGCGTCTTCACCGTCTTCACCGGGAATAGCGCCTTCACAAGGAACAGCGTCTTCACAGGGACGCGTCGTCACAGGGAATGGCGTCTTCAAATAGCGTCTCCGGCGCTGGCGCGAACTGGGAGCCCTGGTTGGCGGGGCAATGTATATACACACATATATATATAATAATAATAATACTAATAATAATAATAATAAATCATAATAATAATAATAATATTAATATTAATAATAATAATAATAATAGTAATACTACTAATAATAATAATAACTAAGAGAGAAAAGAAGAGAGGAAAAAAAACAAAACAACAAAACAACAAAAAACAAAACAAAACAAAAAAAAAAAAAAAAAAAAAAAAACGTGGGGTTCCTGATTCTGCTCTCAAGACTTGGGCCTGCGGGGCTGTCTGGCGGCGCCGTGCTCTCCGACGCCGCCCCGTCGCCGCCCCGCCGCCGCCCCCCTCCCCCGACTTAGCGGTCCGCCCCATCGGAGTGCCATGTACATACGAGGTCTGCCCCACCGTCCATCTTTTATGCGTGTTCAAGCCATCCCAGGCAGCCCCTTGTCGCCCCCAACCCTATCACCTGCCAAAAACATGTTCGCGAGCTTTCGCTGGTCCGAAGCCACCAGTTTTCAAAACTCACTTCAAGAAAATGAGACGAAGTACACACGCGCGCGTCGTCGCGCTCGCATGCCGACATCCCTCAAAAACCCTAGGCGTCGTAAGAAATTCAAAATCGAGTACCCCGAAAACATCTACCTTAACGTGCTGCGAGGACCGAGGGAAGTTGTCCCCAGGCTCTCATGTGTTTTCTGCCCTGGGTCCTGGAGCCCAATATTCTGAGGGCTGAGGCCGGGCTCCACTTCGCAGAGCGGCGCTCTGCCATTTGCCTTAAAGCATACGCACTCGCTGCTCCTCCCCTCATCAGCAGAACGCTGCTCTGCTAGTTGGCCTCAAAGCAAAGTTCCCCATCCCGTTCGAGCTCTGATTAGCAGAGCGCCGCTCTGCTAGCTGGCCTCAGAGCATGTGCGCGTTCACTGCTCCTCCTCTCATTTGCACAGCGCCGCTCTGCTAATTTGACTCAGAGCACGCGCACCCGCTGTTCTTGCTTTATTCACCCGAAGACCCCACAACGGCCACGAGGGCCCCGAGAAGCGCCAAAGCGGGCCCGAGAGGCCTCCACAACGGCACAAGAGCGCCCCAAGAAGCCCAAGATGGCCCCAAGACGGCCCAAGACGGCCCACTGAAACCCCAAGAGCGCCCCAAGGGGACCCCCAAGAGGGCACCAAGATGCACAAAAACGTTATGTTCCGTGTGGTGTAAATTGGTGTCGCGCTGTCGCGTTCTCGGATTTCTGACGCTCCAAGATGGCCCCCAAAAAAACCAAGACCGCCCCAAGACGGCCCAAAGGGGCCGCAAAACGGCCCAAACGGGCCGCAAAACGGCCCAAGAGGCGTTCAAGACTGCCCAAGAGAGCCCCAAGGCTGCCCGAAGAGGGGCCCAAGAGGGGGAACACGAACCGACAAGTCTAGCCTTCTGCCCCAAGGAAGCCCCAGGAGGCCCCAAGGGGCCTCCAAGAGGCGCCCAAGAGGCCCCCAAGAGGCTCCACGAGGCCCCCAAGAGGCCCCAAAGGATGCCTCAGGAAGCCCCCGAAATGCCCTCAGGAGGCCTCAAAACGGCCTCCAGGAGACCACCGAATGCCCCCCCAAGATATCCCAACGAACATCCTAGAGGCCACTAACCCACAACCAGGCACGGTGGCATGGCCCAGGCCCGTAAATAATTTCACAACAGGAATTTCACCACCCCACCCCCCCCCCCCCCCCCCCCCCCCCCAAAGAAAAAAAACTACGATCGCGCCCGTGCGAACTCAAGAAAAGAACAGCTTGTTCAGCAGGTTTATCAAATCCTACCAAGCGGGCCTCTCGTGCGCGCGAATGCCGAAATCGGTCGAGAACTGTTTGCGCGCGTGTTGTCGCAAGAACACATTTGGGAAAATACGGGACATGTACACGCGCGCGTCGTCGCGGGCGCATGCCAGAACCACTCAATTCTAGGCTTCGTGATTGTATCTACATGGTTTTGCAGAATCCGTTTTCAGGAAATATGCGCGCTCGCGGCTGCTTTGGAATGATGTATGCCTGTGTCTGTCATTAAAAATGTTTGGGGTAACGAGAAGAAGAAGAAGAAGAAGAAGAAGAAGAAGGGGGAAGAAGAAGGACAAAAAAAACGAGCTGACGGGCATCTCGCGCCGCATGTCGACATCATTCGGACGCCCTTGCGCGCGCGCTGGGGGGGGGCACGATCCCTGTCAAATAATGCCATGCCAGCCAATCGCGCGCGTCAGCCACGCGCGCATTTCGCACTCTTTCCAAAACCTTCATCACGTCATCGGCATCTGCGAAATCAGCATCGACGCCGTGGTAGGCCATGCCGTCGTCATCGCCATCACCGTCATCATCGGCACCATCGTCGCTACGATCGTCATCGTGTCTACCATTGTCGACGTCGCCATGATACCGCACCCGCCCAAGTCACCGACTCGCACTGAAGTGCCCGCTGGGAAGCGCACGGCGGTCGGTCAGCACCACCGCGGCCGCGTCGGCCGCGCCGAATTAGCTGGCCGCTGTGCGCGCGAGCGCGCGCGGGCTAGCGCAGCCGCAGAGACGCACCAGCCAACACCAATCACACTTCGCATTAGTCACCGCATGGGTTTTACAAACCAAGTTGCGGGCGGGTGCGTGGGATGATTGCGCGAGCAATAGAGTTGACAACTCCGTTTTTTCAGAATGAATTACACCAGATGTATTGCACCCCATAGATTGCACTGCATGGCTTGCCACACATGGATCGCACGACATGAAATGCACAACATAGATTGCACCACATAGATTGCACAACATAAATTGCACAACATAGAGTGCATCACATAGATTACTCCCCCTAGATTGCCCATCATTTATTGCACCACATAGAATGCACACCATAGCACGACTTATACTGCACAACGGAAATGGCACAATATAGATCGCTCCACATAGATTGCACCGATGTATATAACATAACGCACCACATAGGAATGAGCAGCAACGCGCTCCCAGCCCGCCCGCCGCCGGCAGGCTGGACGCCACGTGCGGCTCGCCTGACGAGCACGGCGAGTGCCAGCGGCACGCTCGGCGGCACCGGAACCAGGAGCAGCCGCGCGCGAACGGCCGCGAGGCGCATGGCAGACAGCGCACCGAGGCCGGCGCCTCGGAACAGCTCAGAGAGTGCCGGCTGCACGGCGGGATGGGGCACCAGCAGAACGACGCCGAGCGCTTGCAAGGCGGAGGCCAGCGGCACGGCGAGAGGGCCCCGTCGAACTGCTGGACTGCACCGACGGGCTCGGCGAGGGCGGCTTCAGGCGCCTGCGGGCGGCCTGGGCACCCGCCCGCCGCACGGTCGGGCTCGGTCGGCGTGGCGGAGGCCCTCGACGGGCACCCGAGGCCACGGAGCTCGGCGGCAGCGAAGCGGCGGCGGCAGCCTCGGCACAGGCCCAGTGCTGGGCCTCGGTGCGGAGGCTGCGCTGATCTGGGCCTACAGTCGACCCGTGTTGTAGGGATGCGCGGTAAGGGTGCGAGCGCCTTGGAAAGCCGTGTTGACGTTTTTCGTAGGGCTGGCCAGCAAAAGTTGCCAGGGGTGGGCCTAAGGGTCCAGGATGCAAGGGTGACCTTGGAAAACTCCCTCGTCCTCACTATGCGGGTTGACTCTACCCGCCACCGCCGCAGGGCGCCACCCCGACGCCCGCCACCGCAGCAGGGCGTGCCCCTTGGGAGCGGCAAGAGGTGGTCGCCATCGGCCTGCGGGCGGGGGTGCACGGTTTCTCCCGGGGCCGTAGGCGACCCGAGGAGGAGGAGGAGGAGGAGGAGGAGGAGGAGGAGGAGGAGGAGTGGAGGAGGAGGAGGAGGAGGAGGAGGAGAAGGAGGAGGAGAAGGAGGAGGAGGAGGAGGAGGAGAAGAGGGGAAGGGAGGAGGAGGAGGAGGAGGAGCACGGGTCGCCTACGCCCCTCGGAGAAACCCTCCAGGCGGGACCGCGAGGCCCACTGCTCCGAGCGCGGGCCCCTGCTGCTTCCGCGGGCAGCGGGGCACCCCGCGGGCGCGCGCAGGGGGGGCGGTGGGCACGCACCGGAGGTCCAAGAGGCGCCCAAGACTGTCCAAGAGGCCCCCAAGAGCGCCCCAAGAAGGCCCAAGAGGCCCCCAAGAGGGCCCAAAAACGGCCCAAGAGGGCGCCAAGACGGCCCAAGAGGCGCCAAGACGGCCCAAGACGGCCCCAGGACGGCCCCAAGAAGGCCCCAAGAGGCCCCCCAGAGTTCTCTCGCACCGCGGCGGCGTGCGCGCGGAGCGCGGGCCGGCAGAGGGGGGCTGACCCAGCGAGCCGCTAACTCTTCGGCTGTTCGAATCATCACCATCATCGTCGTCATCGTTACAGCGATTACTGCTGCCGCAGCCACTTGGACCATACTCCTCATCGAAAAGATCATTTTCATCAACCCACTCCTCCTCCTCCTCCTCCCCCTCCTCCCCCTCCTCCTCCTCCTGATTATCCATTTCCTTGTCCCCCCGCTCACACCACAGTCTCGCCCTAGCTCTGCTGTCCTCTTTCCTGCTCCTCCTGTTCCTCCTCATGCTCATCTTCGTGTGTTCCCAAAGTCCACTTTGTCGATTCAAGCGGCCAGCTCGCAAAACAGCATGGGGGAGGCCAAGGAATCAGTCACCCACGCGCGAGATTGCATGGGCGGACCATCCGGAGGCCGTCCTCGGTGAAGGCAACCCTGGCGGCGGCTGCGACAATATACTTTGCGTTATGTTTGCCTCTCTCTCTCTATATCTATCTCTCTATATATATGTCTATCTCTCTTTCTCTCTCTCTCTCTGTGTTTCCTCCCCGTGACATCCGTCTTCACTTTGGAGAATCCTTCGCCGCGGACCTGCTGATCTGATGAGCCCAAGACAATCCGAGACGTGCCCAAGACTGCCCCAACCTTCTCTCAGACAGTCCCGAGACACCCAAGACTGCATCAATACATGCACCCCAGGCAACCCAACATAACCTCAAAGATGGCCCAACTATTCTGACACGTCCACAACAAGCACCAAGAGCCCCTCCAGCAGACCCTTGGGAGGCCGAAAGCAACGTGTGGCGATTACCCAGAAACATACGAAGTGGTGCGACGATCTGATCGGAGACGGGGGGAGCTCTGACAACACAAGGTAGCTAAGAACAGAGTTCCAACAACTGTAAGATAGTCGGACCTTCCAGGGTTTCATCCGAATCGTCGAATTATCATGCAGGCGGGAAATTCAAGCAGAAAGACCACCAAGCATGTGAGTAGGACTCGTACGCAAGAGCGGCGCTCTGGCAGCACAAACAGCATCGAATGGGCGAGGGTTGCCACAAGTTGCGGAGGAGGGCTGGAACAGCGAAAACACTATATCCGCCACCGTGCCCTCTGGCATGGGGCGTGTAAGAATGCCAGGTGCTGTTTGGTAGGGCTTCTGGAATGTTCTGTACTAGGCCCCCCCACACCCCTCGGGACGCGCCCAGGGGCATGCACCGCCCCCTCTTCTCAAGGCCACACCCCCTCGCAACATATGATATGACGGATTCGCGCTCCGTGGGCCCACATGCCTCCAAGATGGCCCGATATCGGTCCAAGGATCGGCCACGTTGGCCTCAAGACAGCCCAAGATGGCCTCAAGACGGCCCACGAGGCCTTCGAGGCGTCCCAAGAGAGCCCTAAGAGCCTTCCCAAGAGGGCATCGAGAGGCAAAAATCAAGTACGTTCCGAAGGTGCTCCAATGTTTTTGCGCGTTCTTAGCTTCTCGACCGTCCGACGTCCCCAAATGACCCAAGAGGCCACCAGGCCTGCCTCAAGCTGGCCCAAGAGGTCCACAAGAGGGCCCCAAGCCAGCCACAGAGGGCTCCAAGACGGCCCACGAGGCGCCCAAGAATGCCCAAGAGGGCCCCAAGAAGGGCCCAAGAGTGTGAACAAGAACCGACAACTGCAGCCTTATGCCTCAAGAGGGATCAGAAGACCCAAGAAGGCCAAAAGAGGCCCCCATGAGGCCCCAAAGAAGGCCCCGAGGGGCAAAACCAGTGATTTGATATGATGTACACTGTCATGGGGGTACTCCCCTTTTCGAGCTTCCGACGCTCCAAGACAGCCCAAGAGGCCCTCAAGACTCGCCCCGCACGGCTCAAGAGGCCCCCAAGAGAGCTCCAAGACTGCCCAAGAGACGCCCAAAAGGCGCCCAGGACTGCCCAAGGGAGGAGGAGAAGGAGGAGGAGGAGGAGGAGGAGGGGGAGGAGG